CTCTCTCTCTCTCTCTCTCTCTCTCTCTCTCTCTCTCTCTCTCTCTCTCTCTCTCTCTCACACACACAACGTTGAGCCCGGGTCCACGCCCTCTCGTTTTTGCGTTGCGCTTCAATTTGCACGGTTGGTTATCGTCGTCTTGATGTGATGGCAGCTTCTGGGCGCTCATGGCACGGCACGACAAGACCAAAGCCTCCGTGTACCACTGCCACCTCCACCTTTGGACAGAAGCATCCCTTCGGTTGCCATGCCATTCTTTGCGCCACGGGTGCCGCCGCCGCCGCCGCCGGAGAATGCCTCGTCGTCGCCGTTAGCGAGCCCCGCTGAGCCAACGGTAAGGTCTTCGTGTGTTGCGGGTATCATCGCCCCCTCTCCGCCCTCATTTGTATCGCTCTACAGTAGTTCAGGCTCCTTTGTTGGGGTGTAGCGGTAGTGGACGAGCCACCGCTTTTCCTCCACCGCTCACGCCCAGCATCTAGACTACCGTCCATCGAATATGTTAGACCTAAGAGCGCCCCCGCCGCCGCCGCCGCTGTCGCCGCAAAGCATCTTGGTTTTCACAACAGCGCGGCGGTGTCAGCGGCGGCGGCGGCGGGGGCGGCAGCAGTACAGCAGCAGAGAAGTAGTACGTCAAGGGAGGAGGAAGGGATGGTGGCCTTAGAGGACCTCGCAGACGATTCTCAAAATTGGCCATACTACATGTACGACAACGACGACGACGGCGCGTCGAAGGCGCAGTCAAGGTCACCGCTGCCGCCGCCGGGGCATGCGGCCGGCGGAACCCTGGCCGTAGACCAAGCTCTTTCGTCGAAGAACGGCACCGGCCGGTCGGGAGCGGCGGCGGCGGCGGCGATAGCGGCGGGGTTCCTGCACGGGCGCGAGCAGGCCGCTCGGCAAGGGGTCCGGCCCGTGAGGACTTGCTGCCTACGGCGGTGTAGCAAGAAGTGGCCGCTCGAGAAGCTTGCGCAGGCCCGAAGCGGGGTCCCCATCGGCGTTTCTTCCATCCGCGGGCCCCCTCTTCCTGATGGCGACGGCGGCGGCGGCGGGGGGTCGGGGGGCGGGGATGACGGAGGCGGCATCACGGTTTGCGCAGCGCTGAGGAAGGCCTACCTCAAGGGCTGCTTCTCGAGGGACGGCGGTCTGTTCTACATCACCGGGGGGCGGAGTTCCCTGCCGGTGTGCCCCCTGTTCTTCAGCGCCGTCACCGGGATTCCGGCGGGTGTGGTAGAGTCGGCCGTACAGGAGTTCCTCCAAGGGACCAAGAGGCGGTGAGTTGGCCATCCCCCTTGCGGCCCCGTTTTGTGCTCTCTCAGTTTGTGCCACCCTTACTTACGACCAGCCCGTGTTTTTTTCCCGTTTCATGTTTGAAGTTTTTTTTTTGCGGCGGCGGCGTTGTGTGCTCTCATCTCGTCGTGCCACCACCCTTGGTTTCCCGGACGACCCGTGCGTGTTTTTTTGTAGCCGTTTTTCAGTTGTTGGTTGTTGTCTAGAAGGTGAACGCTTGGCAGATCCTTTACAGCTTAACTTTTTAGTATGCTGTGCCATGCGAATCGATTTCCGCGGAAGCAGATTGGGCGTTTTTTTTTTTTAGTTTATTGGTGCAAGTAAGGATTCTCCCCCCGCTAGGAGATCGTCTATCGACTATTCGTGAAAAGAGACTGAATATTCGTGGGCTGCACAGGTTGGGGTGTGTCCACTTGTTTTGATAATTGCTAAAGTTACGTTGCTCTCGTCCTTCGAAGAAGTTGTTGTTCTGCTGGTGTTTCTGTTCCTGCTAGCTGATAAGCAGTGTGTGGATGCATGGCTTCAGCAGGTCTTACTCACGAGCACCAAGGGCATCATCGATCGCTAATATATCCGCTAGGCTGGCGCCGTCACCTTCGCCAGGTTCGAGGTACAGTACTGTTTGACTCTCCGTGGAGGGATAAGACACGAATGATCTATTCTAGTTTTCCCGGGTGGAATCTGGCGCTCCCTCCAGACCGAAGAGGCGTGAGTGAAATACCACTCTGCTTTAAGATATATGCACCATTCGAACCTTTCGGATACAAGCGCGAGCACCTCATTGGTCCTTATTTTCACAACAAAATGGTACATGATTAAATCCCCACAGCGTGAGGATTTGGCTTCTGTAGCTTTCCGGTGTGGGGGAGTCCTCCTTAACTTAGCCAGACACCACGAGGGGTCTGCTGTCTCTGCTTCTGAGGCCTCTGAAAGTCTTGAGCGTTGATTGTTGTCAATGTCAAGCCCTCGATGTGATGGCGCCGTGTGTAGCTCCTCGTGTGGGAGGGGGGCACGGCAGACAACAATACCAAGCTCCGTGGTATACCGCCTACCTTGAAACGAAGGCATTGAAAGGGAGTTGGCCGGGTTTCTGCGTAACGGCGCGACTCTCTTTCGGGAGTGGCGACGGCGGAAAGCGCACATCGCAGCTAATAGCAGCGACTCAAGAAGGCGCCATCGTATCTACCCGCTCTTACGATTCGGTAGCGGCATCACATCCACCCGCTCTTTGGACAGGGAACCAGTGCCGGACGGCTGGCGGTACAGTACGGCGACGGAGCGATGTTACAGCAGGACGGCCGAACCATGGGGCGGCATCGGGGCCGACTACTCCAACCACCAGTAAGGCTTAATAATTTAGTGTAGTATGGGCTTTTTGTTGTAGTATGGGTAAGGGTTATTATGTTGGTCATCAAGCGCCTCATGTCGTACGAACTAGGAAGTATCACAGTCAATGCTACGCTAGCGTCTCGTTCTGCTGGTGCTGGTGCTGGTGCTGGTGCTGCTGGTGCTTTTGTTGTCGTTGTTGTGGTTAGTGTTTACACACATGTATGTATATTCGTCTTTACCCCGCTTTTTTCTCCCGGTTGATGATGATGACGTCGCCCTATTTTTTTTCTGTTTTTCTCAACATGTTTTTTGGTCAGGTTGCCGTGCGAGTCATCCAAGGTCATCCAAGCGTTCATCACGGACCTGGCGAGCCACTGGCAGCCGCTAGGGGAAAGCAACCGGGTAGAGATGTCATACCCTTCGAGAAAGGTGCGAGGTTTGTCCCGGTGGACCGTCATCGCGCGGATGGAGGCTGCACATTTTTTCTTCGACCTTAGGTTTTTTGACCAATCAAAACTCGGCGACGAACCATGGATCCCGTTCTCTTTTTACTTCGACCAAGGCTTTTCAACAATACATAATGTTCTGCGTGCCACAGTCCCTTTTTCTGGAAAGCAACCAGGTACATAGGGATGTCGTACCATTCGACGAAGGTGGAGGGATGCCTCTTTTCCGATTGAACCGTCATCCCTGGGATGGAGGCAGCTCAATTTTGTTTTCGACCTCTTACGGTTTTGTTGGCCAAACAGAAATCGACGACGAACTGCAAATCCCATTCTTAGTATTTTTTTTGAGAATCTTCTTCTTCCCCGCTGATGCCGATGCAGGAAAGGAGAGCGCTAGTTCTTCTTACCAGCTGCGGGCTGGTCTTCCTTCTGCCTTCTTTTCTTGACGTCTTGCATCGCCCCTTGACGACACTGCTGTGCTCTCACCGGCCTACTCCGAAGGAATCCCTTGTACAGTAGAGGTCCCTATTTAGTGCCGGGATGTGCGCCGAAATTTCACCAGCACTAAACCGGACACCGGCGCTATTCGAAGTACAGAAAGACTTGGTATTCCAGTGTGTGCGAGCCGAAAACACCTGCACTATTCAACCGGCACTGAACAGGGACCTCTACTGTATGCCGGAACATCTTCCCTGGGTAGTTCGGCTTCTCCTGCCGGTTCAGGCTATAATGTATTTTGGCTTTTCTTTTCTCGCTTTACTTCGCGATGGCTTTTTTTTTTTATTGCGGAGCCCTGTGGAGTTCCGCGCACGGAATGAATGTTCCCGAACTGTCTTCTTCACGAAACAAGCCCGCTGGAAACCCCGCCTTACCGCGTTTTTGTAACGTTTTTTTTTTTCAGGCCATTTACGACCTCTTCGCCCGTGATTGGGAGAGGCAGCGCCAGGACGGCGTGGCGGAGCAACCCAAGAACTTGAGGCGTTGGACCCCGACCCCCAGCTACGGTGTTTTTGTGGCGACGTGGGACAGGTGGTGTGGGCATGTCGGCTTGAAGCAGTCCGGAAACCATCAGCACGAGCAGGAGCATCAGCAGTACCACCACCGGCACCACCACCAGGAGCATCAGCAGCTTCTGCAGCAGCAACATCCACAGCAGCAGCAGCATCATCATCATCAGCAAGATCGCTGTCAACAGCAGCAAGATCGTTTTCAACAGCAGCAAGATCGTTTTCAACAGCAGCACGATCGTTTTCAACAGCAGCACCGGCATCCGCAGCAGCATCCGCAGCAGCGTCCTCCGCAGCACGTTCAACAACAGCAGGGGCGGCAGCTTGTGTTTCAGCAGTGGAGGCATCACCTGCAGCAACAACATCAGCAGCAACAACAACAACTACAACAATTGCACAGTCTTTGTCGGCAGCAGCAGCAGCAGCAGCAGCAGCAGCAGCAGCAGCAGCAACAGCAGGAGCAGCAGCCCCGACTGCTAGTGCCTGTCCTCCCACAAGCATCCATGATACCGCCGAAACGTGAGTGCAACTTGGGACCATCTCATGTCGCCAACATGTCTCAAAATCTATGCCGCATACGGCGCTTTCTAGAAGTGAGTTCTGCGCGCGAATGTGTGGTATTCTGGAAGTGGGCAAGGCGTCCGTGGTCAGTTGGCCTCTTGTTCACAGCGCGTGCAAAGCCTCCAGTGTTTTCTCTCAATGTCCAGCAACTCTGGGACACAGTTTCCTCGATTTTACCCAACGAGCTCTAGCGATCCTACATCGTGCTCGCTCGCACAAGACTGTATTGTGCATCACCTGCAGTGTCCCAAGGCGGTAATAAAAAAAAAGAAGCAAGAGATGTCGGGCGTGGTTCAAGACGCAACACCGCGCTCGAGTCTCGACAACGGCTCTTTCTTTCGATGAGCTTGGAATTGTCTCCTGGCCATGCTTCCGGTTCAGCTGCTTCATGCCGTTGTGTGAGAATCACCTCTGGTTTTCGCCGTTATTTGTGTCGATTGCGATAGTCGCGGTGGCGGCCGAAAACGAGGCAGCCCCAAAGTAGGCCTTGCGTATGTATCCCGCCGAGCTCGTTTCGTCGGGACAGCCGTGCGTGGCCCGTGACGCGACCTCGTTGCCGCGTACGATGCTATAGTAGCTTCGGCCCACCTCGGCAACATTACTCCAGATGCAACTCAAGCCGCAAGCCTCTTCTCCAAGTTAGGACATATGTGGTGTTTGTTTTGAGGAGTTCCCTGGTGTTGTGTTGTTCACTAGCAATATGTAACGGTCAGGATCGCGGCCATGAGGAAAACGAGATACGGCAGAGGTCCCTGTTTAGTGCCGGTGCCCGGTATAGTAGTGCCGGTCAAACCTCGGGGCACGAGCGTCACTCTTTTAAGCAATAACCTACGTATCCCTGTTCTGAACAGATGCTGTTGTTGTCTTCACCTTTAAAACCGTTCCGTTCTCTCTACCCGGTATGTTCTTCTGTCCGCACTATTTAGTCCAACACTTGACGCGGTCTTCCCCCCCAAGAGGTATAATATATGAATCGTTCCAGTAAATTTTCTGGGCACATAGGCTAGCAAGTAACTCTGTCCGGTCCCAAGAAGAGCCTTAAAACGTGTAGAATGTACACTAGTAGTTATTTCTTTTTTGTGGGTTGCAGTAAGAGTGCCTACGGACTAATCCCGCCCCCGCCGCTCCCTCCAGCAACGACGGAGGGTCTGGTCTACAAGACTGCTGCTGCTGCTGCTGGTGGTGGTACTGCTGCACCGACGGCTGCCGCTGTTGTCGGTGGAGCCGCCGCCGAGGTTGAAGCTAGCGAAGCGCCAAAGCCTCTAGCGGTGCCTCTGCTCCCGGCCGAGCTACAGGTGGACCTGACACCATCTAAGTCGCCATGAACCTCTGTTGCTAGGGTCTGGACCGCGGGTGCGAAGGTGAGAGACTGGCCCAGAACATTTCTGCGGAGCCGCGACAGAAACGGGCTTGTTGACCCCAAACCAAACAAACGCGTCAAGCGTCTGTATTGCAAGTAGACACAAATATTCTGTCGGCCACGGGCGGTGAGCGCGGACATGAGAGCGGCTCAGAGCGTTTCATGATTCTGCGGAGCCGTCACAGAAACGCATTTATTCCCCCCAAATAACAACTCATTCTCGCAAGACAAGCTAGCTGGCTCGACATGGAGACAGAGACGCGTTTTTGTGGATTCGAGCACGTGTGCAACCGGCACTTTTTTTGCGAAGGGGGACGATTCTCCACCTGCCTGTGCGGCTGTAATGTAGGCTTTATGAATGCCTCGTGCGACGACCTCCGTCACGCGCTGCCACCATTCAGATAGTCGCCGCATGTATAGTCTTTAAGTCTCGGCTGAGGCTAGAGTTCTTGGTTCCTCTTGTGGACTACCAATGGCCGCCATATTAGTTTTGGTGGTGTGTAGGGTTGGGCTCACCAACGGTAGTCTAGTAGTCAAGTTCTTCGATCGTACAATGTTGAGCATGGACCTCTTAGCTGCCAAGTTCATAACTACCAAGTTCATAACTGCCAAGTTTAAAACTGCCAAGTTCGTAACTGCCAGGTTCTGATTTGCCAGGTTGTTAACTGCCAAGTTCTTGAGGGGGTGTAGAAAAGGGCTTGTGACGCTGGTTCTTTTTCCCATACTTTAATCCTATACAAAGAAGAAAATAGCATTCTATGGTCATCAGTAGAGGACACCATGATTAGGTGTCGTGCGTGCTGGTGCGTTCAGGTTTGCTGCTGGAGCTGAAATATCGAAGGTCGCAGCAACCTCTGAAAACTGTCCGAAATCTGCGCCGGAACCAAGCGGCATCCAACACTTGTCACAGCCGTGCTCGCCGCCACTATACCCAATCTCCTGAACCACGGGTCGTCAGCAGTAGCTAGTGTCATCAGCTACTGCTTTAAACCCGCAGTCTCCTGAACCACGGGTCGTCAGCAGTAGCTGATGACACTAGCTACTGCTGACGACCCGTGGTTCAGGAGATTGGGTATAGTGGCGGCGAGCACGGCTGTGACAAGTGTTGGATGCCGCTTGGTTCCGGCGCAGATTTCGGACAGTTTTCAGAGGTTGCTGCGACCTTCGATATTTCAGCTCCAGCAGCAAACCTGAACGCACCAGCACGCACGACACCTAATCATGGTGTCCTCTACTGATGACCATAGAATGCTATTTTCTTCTTTGTATAGGATTAAAGTATGGGAAAAAGAACCAGCGTCACAAGCCCTTTTCTACACNGCGCACGGCACCTAATCATGGTGTCCTCTACTGATGACCATAGAATGCGGCACCTAACACTCATAATTGACCTTGTTTGAGCGCCTTCCGTTTTGGCTGTTCTGACTAGTATGTAGAACGGTGTGATTTTTTATGTTGAATTCAAAGAAGGCGTGTGGAGGTAGACGCGTGAAATTTCTGTTTTGAGCAGCCTCTACTGCCGCCCTGTGCGAGAATCAACGATTGCTGCTTTTCACGGTGCCTTGTCACTGGTCTGGTGTGTCTGTCGTGCAATTTCTGATGCTCTTGCGTTTGATTTCAAAATTTGTCATCACCAAAGTTCTTCTGCACCCCCTTAACTGCCAAGTTCTTACTCCCAAGTTCTTAACTGCCAAGTTGTTCACTGCCAAGTTCTTTGTTGTAAGTTGTTCACTGCCAAGTTCTTAGCTGCCAAGTTCTCAACTGCCAAGCGTTTACTTCCAAGTTCTCAACTACGAAGTTTTTAACTGCCAAGTTCTTTCCGCATCTGGATCTTGACCCTCCCTTTGTGTCCCTCTCGACGCTTTTCGGAATGCGCTTTCTCATGGCGCGTTCTGATTTCATCCATCCAGGACTATGCGTGCACAGCGCCAAGAGGGTTAGTTCTGCTTGGCCGATGAGGTAGATGCAGTCGCCGTGGCAGTGAACGGTTGCTTTGACACCAAGTCGTTGTCACGTCACGTGGTATCCGCAGATTCATGACAGAGGGTGACATGTCCGACCGTGTCTCCAGGGGAACACCTTTCCGGTACGGGGCATCCGATTAGTTCTTAGGAAATTCGTTTTTTTAGAGTCAGTTTTTTTTTTTTTTTGTATTTTTTAGTTTGCACCTGTTGCCGAGGGGATCGATTCGTTCTTCCTGCTGAGGATCCTCTCTCGCCACATCTACTGCTTTAGGTTGCTAGAAATTGATGATCTCACAGAGAGACTGCCCGTTCGAGATATAACCATAGCCGAAAGGGATGTGCTGAAGTCTTTTCAGTGAGTGGAGGGAAACCGGCTGGAAAGGTTTCCGTTGCGCAGTACACGCTTAAGGTGTACCGTTGCCAGTAAAGGGTATGGGTCTTGCGTCTTCGTTTTGCAATTTTTTCCTGGTGGGTGCAATGCCTCACCAATCACCTCTTAATTCGTACGCCCACGTTGTTGATGCTTTGTGTTGTGTGGGCACGCTAGAACCTCTGTGCTTATTTGTTGTGGGCGGTACGGGACCTCGGAGCGGGTACTTCGCCTTTGATAGGGCTTGCAAGCCCTGGATTTGTGTTGAGTGCTGCTCCTTTTCATGCACCCGTATCCGGGCCATGGTGCACGCATGCGTGCCTGCATGGAACCTCATACCGCTAATCGTATATACTTTTCGTTTGTTCATAGTGGATTTGTCTGAGTTTTGGTTGGCCGTTGTTGGTTGATCATGCCTGTGCGTTGTAGGCGTCCTGTGGTGTTGGATTTTGTGTCGTTAGACCTCTCTTTTATGCTTCGCACGGTGCGGTACGAGGCTGTCATGCAGTTTGGTGTTTCGCCGATCTGTTGGCGGTCTTTTGGTGTTGTTGCGGCGATGCCGAGCTAAAGGAAGCAACTTCGATTTGGAAGAGTTGCATCGAACGCGCTAAGCCGTGAGTGTGTGTGTTGCACTCTGTTCTGAATAATATTTGGACCATCGGAATACTACATAGCATGATTGTCTCGATGGCCCCTATTTTTCCGAACATTTACAGTTCAGGCGGCACGGTAGGGCGAAGGTTGTCTTGCATGCGGTGTGAACTATCTACTGATGATGTACTCTCCTGCAGATTGTGCATAATATGGTGGCGAGCGGTGCGGGTCCCTCTTTCGCTTGTAATCTGTAAGAGTGATAGTATGTTCCGTGATATGGCCAAAGCCACGCTCCTAATGTACTACTTGTAAGCCCATAAGGCCGTGTTCACCCTGTAATAGTTTGGATTCACGACGCTTGCACACGTCACGTCCGTTTTTTCTCCGTTGCCTGGATGTTGCGCGTTGTGGTACTGCTACTGCTGTAGCAGTGTAAAACAGTCCAGCGACGTGCGGTGCGTGTGTCGTTTGCGTGTCTTGTGCTGTTTATTGTTCGGCGTGTTATCATCAGGTTGTTGATCGCTCTCTACATCAACAAGGCAACACGCCGGAAAGGCGGCCGGGGGGCTGCTCATGTGTGTGTCCAAACCCAGGGGTCTATTTTCGCCTCTTTCACGTGCGGTCCTGCGTGTTGTGCTGGTGTTGCAGGGTGCTGTACTGCTGTAGGTGCCGCTGCTGCTGTACCAACAGACGACGTTCGATCAGCCGGCACATTGGACGTTTATGCGGGTGGCCGCATACCGATGGCGGCGAATACGAGTGAGACATCCAATGCCCATCTTTCATTGCATCGATTGACATGTCAAGATGAATATCTTTGCTCTCGTCGTCACCTTCCTCCCGGCGGACTGGATTCATGCATCTCTCGAGTGGATACCCATTAGTCAACAGGCATCAATACGTACCAGATGCTCGCATCAACCGGTGTTGGCACAGAGAGGCAACGACCTTGCAACGTGTGCGCACCAGAATCAACTACCAAATGATGATGCACGCACAAAGTGGCGAACCGGTAATAGCCGCCTTGTGTGCGCGGCTGTAACGCAGCCGCCTACATGTAGTGGGGAAGATTCAGATTTCAAGATTTGAACCGTGAAATGTTATCCATCGCGTACACTACAGTTGTGTCATGCGTTTGAAACATGGAGGCCGCGATAGCGCCGCAGATGCGGCCGTGCGTATTCTGTGTGTGTGCATGAAAGAGAACGAGAGAGAGAGAGAGAGAGAGAGAGCGAGGCACGGTAGTCTACACCGCTACTCCGCCGATACATGTACAGGTCAAAAACAAACAGGAACACATGTGTAAAATAACTGCGACACTGCTGTGGCGGCAGGTCGGGGCACCCCCCCTGCCCTTATGTAGTTTCGCAATTGCGGAGTCCCCTGATCAATTGTGCCGCGCAGCAATGACCGCCAGACCAGATAGTTGCGCCCAATTCGTGGGCATGGCGACCCTGCTAGCTCGCTGCTCGGCAGCTCTTTGTTCCAAAGGTGCAATCTCATTACCGGGATCGTTGATCTCCTTTCGCGGGCTCAGCGCGGCGACTGCTGCCTCGTTCGCGCCGCCCTTGAGGCTCAACAACCTTGCTCCAAACGATGGGGCCAGGAGAGATCGAAAGCGCGTTGGCAGGGGCAATGGCTCGGGCACGGGGAAGACGTGCGGAAAGGGGCACAAGGGCTCCAAGGCGCGCAAGGGGACTAAGAGGATAGGGTTCGAGGGAGGGCAGACTCCTTTCCACCGAAGGATTCCCAAGCGTGGGTTCAAGAATGGGTGAGCAAGGGTCGAACACGCGTGGGAGGCACGCGCTGAGGGGTGGAAAAAGCAGCATGTGTACGCTCACCACGATGTATGCACTAAATACCATGACCGGACTCGCTGTGGCCTCCAGCGGAGTATGAGATGCATGAGCTCGCATGGTGGCGTTGATGTTTGAATTCGCTGTTGCTTCAACACAAATTGTGCAACAGATTCCTATGCACACGCGCTATTGCCTGTTGCGTTAGTCTACACTGCTGTTGTGCGTACGAAACAGTTCCCCGACTCCGACAGTCGGTAAGCTGTTTGGTGGCCATCTTCCCAGTGCTCGTGCGTGCCTGGTTCTCCTTCCACTCGCTGTTGCGAGCATCGTCTACGCGTGCCACCTACCCACAAGTCAGCTCTTTCTGGTTCGAAACGCGGAATTGAGCCAATGGTGTTAGTTGTCTCTCAACTCCTTGGCAAGGAGCACCTACAGCTATGTACTGCACAGCCAAGCACAGCAAACGTTGTTGATCGAAGCAGAGACAACACAATCTTAAGTGTATCTTGGTGTTTCCTACCCACCACTGCTGCCTCATCTTCGACCGCTCGAACCGCACCATTCATGCATGCACGACGATGGAGCTGCTATCGCCGTCATCAGTGTCGAGCGAAAGCAACGCGTCGGTCGCTTAATTTGGTCGAAATCCATCTCTGGCACTGGCACACACGCATACGACTGCATTTGTTGCCATTTCACTGTGAAGAAGAGCACCTCGCCAAGTAGAAGTACGCGCTTGATTGGGACCCGACTACGTTTGGCCACGAATGCCACCTCGTGCGAACTCCGGTTGTCCTGTCCTGCGGGAGGCCCGGTGTCGCTGAACCGGCACACAAGCGAATTGAAGTCTGGCAACAAACGTGAGCGAAAAACGCACACCCAGACACGGGTAAGCAGCATGACCTGGCCTACGGATGTAGAACGCGGAATGGGGGTACAGTACACGCGCGTGGCAATGTGCCCACGCCCCCAGGCCCCCACCATGACACCCTCCGTGGACACTCCTACGTACATGAGACTCTTACAAGCGACACGAATTGCGAGTACCCACCAGCCCTAGCCACAGTAAGGGCGTCAAGAGTGTTTGAGCTCGCACAAATCCCTTCCCCTGATGCGCATCAATAGGAAGTCATCAATGGAAGTGGGCTGCAAGTGGCTATCGATAGGGCAAGAGGTAGTTTTTTTTTTTTGCCGTGTTTAGCAAAGTAACCATTCGGCCATCGGAGATCGGTCCTGTGGCAACAAAGCTCCGTCCTCTCGAGGACGCGTGGTCAACGACCTAGCCGCTAAGACATGCAAAGCATGAGAGAGTGCACCCCGCTGATGTGCATCCCCCCCCCGCTGCTGTACACACGTTTTTTTTTCCTATTTTTTATCTACGTTTCGGATGGGGCCAGGGCCGATGAGTCGTTCGAGACCGTGTCGGTGGACCGCATTTACATGTACATCGCGATGGGGCGCCTTCGACCGAAGGACGGCTGCCTGATTTCGATGAAGGACCTCCAGGTGATGGATGTCGGAACACTTAGTTTCTCGCTGCCTTGTCGTGGAGGGAAAAGTATCGTCCCATGGGACAAACCTCGCCTCCGCGCCCCCCTGTCCCCCAGAGGCGTACATCGATCTTGCCCGCGTATCACAGACACATTACCAAGTATGGACAGCAGGCTGTTGCGTAGCACGGTCTCGAGAACGATTATTGGAGATGAGATGTGAAAGTCAACGTGAATGACTCCTGTTTTTTCATCTTTCGACGTGCCAGCACGTGCGCGTCTCCGCCCCCCCCCCCTCCCGCCCGACATACCGCGCTCGTGGCGTGCCCACGTTCTTGGTCTTGGTCTCTTCGAACCCCCCACCCCAAATCACGCCCGCCCACGCCCACGGATAATCTTAACAGGACGCTGGCATCGTCCAAGACATCAAGTTTGGGGTGAGACTTGTCGCCGGGGCCAAAAAGAACTCGGTGCTTGGCCACAACAGCCCTCACCGCCTCACCGGAGCGACAGGTGTGTGTGTGGGCGCATGTATCAGGTCGCGCCGCTGCTGCGTGTTGCCTTTGAGTTTTTTTTTTTTTTTTCACTTCAAATCAGCGCTCACGGCACTAGTGCCGTTTACTCTTCGATTTATAATGCGAGAAGAGTTCAGCACTCTCTTCCCTCTGTGTACACACGAACTAGCGCTATCCACTGGGCCAGGAGCGGGAGCGAGAGAAAAACTCACTTTGCAAGAAAAGCTCGCTTACGCCGGGATTCGAACCCCTGACCTGACCTCTAGAAGGTTTCGAGGTTACCAACTAGACCACCGGGGCGACCGGCGGCATAGTGTCGCCAGTTGAACGAGCGCGGCCGCCTCGTGTCTGTTTTGGCTGGAGTGTTGTGACGCGTGGTCCCGACGGTCGGGTGCTCCCGGTTTGCTCCCTGCCCTGCATCTATATAGCACCCGTCACATCTTTACAACCTGGGAGATAAGTAGCACCGTCTCGAGAAAGAGAAATTAAAGAATTTGAGCACAGGACCATGTGCCAAGGCAACAATTGTATACTTATAACACACCATATGCAACAATCGATGTTGGGTTACCCCACGGAGAAAATAGACGAGCCTCGGGCACAATTGCAAGAAATTCTTGAAATGAGTGGCTCCTATTTAATCCATTTTGAATCCAGAAATTCAACACGTTAGGTTTGTCGGGCTGAAACACGAGACGAGTTCTTGTTTCGCTCGACAAAAGACACGACAACGACAAAAGACAGAAACCAACAATGATGTGGACCTACCGCAAAGAGATGGAGAGATGGCGCCCCCCCTAGATCGATTTCCAAAGCTTGCTCCACGACCAGCGGAGTGCGGAAAGAGCCCGATGATCCCACGGAAATCCCTCGACGAGATGCTTGCAAAACCGCCATTTTTCTTGTGTTGGCAAGCATGTTGGTTGTGGGGCAATCGAGCTTTCAAAATCGGTCTGGTGTGTGCGTCTGTGTGTCCCATCCATCTCTCGGCCTCATGCGATACATGTATCAAGCAGCGATAATGCACCCACCGCCCGCGGCCACCACCGGTGTGCGTGTATTCCCAACATCCCCTTTCCCAACTCTTTCCGTACAACTGCGTTCCGCCCTATCCCCGAAGGAGATGCGACCGGGGCCGAGAACGAGGCGGCCAGGGCAGCATCGGAGGCAACAAAGGGAGCGAAGTCGCTTCCGTCCATCCACCTGGAGGTTAGCCGCGCCTCAGCGGGCGCGATAGAGGCGGTCGAGGCGCAAGGGGGGACCGTGACTTGCGCCCATTTTAACCGCTTGGCTCTCCGGGCGCTGGTGAGAGTCGTCGTCACGGTGTGCTTTGTGTGTTGGTCCGTTGTCGTGGACGCGTCGTCAGGAACGCTCTGCTTCAAGCCTGACAGAAAACAATCGCAGGCGAACGCTGCTACTCGTGAACGATTTGTTTTGCTTGTGGTGTTGACATCTGTTCTGGCCGCTGCTGTTGGCAATTTTTAATGGTAAATACTGTAGTGGTACATCACCCACATATCTCCAGGCACTTGTCCGCCTCGGCCTTGACGGCTTGAGGTTTGATTTCAGAATTTTGAACGCAGACAGGGTGATGGTGGGGTGCCGAGG